GGGGGGGGAAGGGCTGGGGGAGGTGGGGCGGCGGGCTGAGCCGCGGCACAGGTTTTGGGATCGAGCGGTGGAGGATCTGGTTAGTTGTGTGAGACTCGGGGTGGGTGCGCAGGGAGGTCGAGGCCTGTCGTCGTCTTGCTGCGAAGCCCTCTGGTAGCGTGCGTGCCCCCGGGCTGAGGGGAGAGCTTCGCCCCTCGCCGAGAGCGGCCCCTCCGCGCACTGCCCCTCGCTGACAGTGGCGGTGAGGGCGCTGCGGCGCCCGGCGGGCTCTCCTCCTCCTCCTCCTCCTCCTCCTCCTCCTCCTCCCCGCTCGCAGGATGAATAGGCAGAGAGACGGAGGCGCCGAGCTGAGCCGAGCTGACCTGGAAACAGACGGCCGGCGGGGAGGGAGCAGGTGACAGGCAGCGGTAAGGGAGGAGGGACGGGGGAGGAAGCGGGGGTGGCGGAAAGCGAGAGACAATGACACCAGGCCACGTCTGGAGTTGGTGGCCCTTCGGAGTCGGGACGTTGTCCTCTAGAGAGGGAGGGGCTGGTCCAGGAGATAGGCGAGGGAGCGTTAGCCGTGGCAGGGAAACAGCTGATGAAGAAGGGGGCTTGCTTCACGAGTGGCGGAGCTGGTGCAGCCACGGAACATGTGGGAATGTTTGCTTGCTTCGGGCTGAGGAGGGGTGTTAGGTTTGTAGTGCAGCCGTGTCAACACCACCTCGTCTAGAAGTGTGACGGAAGTACCGGGGCTGGGTAGTACAAAGCATACGTACACATTCAATAACAGGCAGCGTGAAAGGAGAACTTGGGCTTTACAATTCTGGCATGTTGAGCGCAGGCAGGGTTTGAACCTATGTGGCAAAATAACTGACGTGTTTACTGAAAGACTTCAGGAGAAAGGCTTGCTTTATTTAAATAATACATAAATGGATTATGTCCCTCCCATTCTTGTGCAATTGTTTCTGGTTTTGGAGCTGATGATCTTGATTTTGTACAGTAATAATGTCTGTTTAAATGGATTTTTTTGAAGAGATAATATTAAGCTGAAACTTGCTTGTTTTAAGAATGAATATAAGTAATTTCAAACTGTTCTTTTGTCATTCTATTCATCTGTCTTTTATAATACTTTCAATGTTTGTAAAAAAAGAACATTCCTTTTCTTGTTTTCTTTGTCTGTGAAAGACCCTGACAAATGGAGGGGGAGAAATGACAGTAGCTCAACTATTTATTTCTTAATAATTCAAGTATTGGAAAGAGTTTTTTTCTTACATTTCTCATTAGATTTATTAATAATAATCTTCTTTTAGGCAGATAGGATTAAACCGATAACCCTTTGGCCTTCCCGTTGACTTTAGGCTGCGTCTTCAACTTGGAAATAAAACAGAGAAGTGTTTTCTTATTATTAAACTGAATTTATATCCAGCCTGTATGTCATCCATAGAATTAGACAGTGGTATTAATCTTATGTTTCTGCTGTACTTTATTTCAGTAGCTTGATCTGCTTTAGGTATCATCCAGATCCCTCCAAGCATGGCTCCATTGTGTTATACAGATTATAAAGCAAGCCCTCTAGACTGTACAGTCTGCATCTTTTATCTTGTAAACTGATTTTTGCAAGGAGACCGCCAAGCACACATCCCAGTGATTTCCATGCTAGAGGTTCATCGAAACCTTCTCCTGTGGATCTGATTGCGTGATTGGGGCTTAAATAGGGAAATGATACGGTGTGTGAGTATAGAAGCCAATGAAGCAGGAAAAAAGAACTACAAGATTGTGTGTATTAGGTAATGTATATAGGAGGGCTTCATGAACTGGAAAAATATCAGACATGATGTTAACTACCGTAGAGTCTAACAGAAATAAAATTTTTTAGGTTGTGGCACAATGAAATATAGTTGGTGATTGTAAATGCAGTATGGTCCGTTGTCTGGTTTTGTGTGTGATAGACTCCTAATTCAAAAGTGGCAGTGTATAACTCTTGAATAGAGTAATGCTCATGTCTAACTACAAAAAACTTTTCAGAGGAAAGGAAGTATCCTCCTTATTTCACATGTGAGGCAACTGGGTGTTAAAGCTGAGCTGTGATTTTCGTAGCAGAATTGGAAATAGGGTGCATGTGTTGTGCTTTGTCCATCTAGCTCTTAATCTGTTGGAGAGTACTCTTCAACTGGATGCTGCTTTGCCACCTTATGCAAGGGGTGCAGACTTCTTACTCCTGAGAAATTTTTTTTATTGTAGAGAGCAACAACATTAATGATAAAACATTAGTAAAATAGTAATTTAGAGTTAAATTCGATTTGGAGTTAACTGGCAAAGTCTGGCTTTAAAGTTTTATTGGATTTTTAAAAATGGTTGTTAAATAAAAGGTAGCTTTTAAAAATCATGGCAGTAATTACGCATCCTCAAATTAACATCATAGTCTTTTCAGTCTGAATATTTAATTGATTAGTCTTCACTGAAATTATCTGATGTAATACAAAACTCTGCCATTAAGATCTTTTTTTTTCCGAACTGCATGACTGTAGTAAAATGTTGCTTACTGTTAGTATATCAGATATTCTAACTAGTAGTTGTTACTAATCCAGACTTTTTTTCTGTTTCTTTTTTTGAAATTCCGCCCCCCCCCAAATCCACTATTTATATTGTTTTACATTGTTTGTATGAGATGAGCTGCTATTGAAGTGTTTCAGAAGCAAGAAGGCAATGACGAGAAATACGGTATTCCTGTACAATAGACAATCAAATTAAAACTCTGCTTTTTAGATTGAGGTTGACAAGCAGCATTTTAAGAATCTTTAAGCATATCCCTTTGTCATTTTTAATCCCTATATATTTTCTTATAAACCTGTGCTGTTGCATTCCATTAAGATTATACTTCATCTGTTTTTGATTTGTGAATTTTGAAGGAGAAAAACCCCACAACATTCCTGGTATATGTTACTGTGGTGGTCTGACCTCTGAATAGGTGTTAAGTTGAGGTCCTTCCAGTATGACCACTCTTCAGGGCTATTAGAAGATAAGAAAGCAAAATATGAATTAAATATTGCAACTTGAATTATAGATGTTCTTTGGTTTTTTAACAGGGACAAAATTAAGCCTGATACTCACATCCTGTATCTAATGATTCACCAGGTTGTGTCTGGATTAATACAGAATAGTTGACTCCAAGTTTAATGTATTTTTTTCATGTAACATTGTCCTTTCTGAAAGACGTTCTCTGTATCTAAAAAATGTAACATTTCTTTCTCTAGTCACCTAATGAAATACAGCTGCTAATTTAGAACTTTGTATTGTTTACTTGCATAGCAGCTACTCTTAATCTATGTAAGGAGTGAGTTTAAAGTTGTCCACTTGCAGAGAGCATCAGGCAACAAGCTGACAGCAGAATTAGATTTAGAGGTTCCCTTCACAGTCAGTCCCCTGCACTGCTGTTTCTGTATTGGTTTTCAGCCATATTACTGTCTAGGAAACTTTACAGTAAACATACTGCATTATGTATAGTCCATAAAAGGTCTTGGGGGGGAAAAAAAAAAAAAATCCTCCGCTGAATGTAAAGTTCTTAACAGACTGAACAAAAACTGTTAGTGCTTTGTGTCAGAATCTGGGATGTGGATTTGTCTGCCTGGAAAGGTGGTTTATAGAAGGACCAAGCTGAGCAAACCAGAATTCCCTGCTTGTATAAAGGCTGCTGGTTCAACTGCAAATCAGGAGTCAAGCAACTCTTCTGTAAAACTCCAAAGCACAAATGTAAAATGATAGGGATATGTACCTAGTATGTACTTTAAAGAAAAGCGTGCATGTGCTGCTTGGAATTCTGGAAGTACTGACTGAAGAGGGCTGAAACTTAGTTTTAAAAGGTTCTTTGGTGCTCCTTGGATTGCTTAGTCTGTCATGCAAAGATCCTGCTGGATGATGTAGGTCTCATGCAATGTGAAAGTAACAGCTCCATTCAGTTTGTGCTGCCATTACATGCACGCGTAGGATGATGAAGGAGCAGGATATAATTAAGCACTGAATCTTAGTTTTTCTGAAAACAAGTTACGTTTGGAGTAGAACTCACCCCAGAGGTGGGAAGATTCATCTATATCTTTACCTACACAGATTTGTAAATGGCCTGGGAAAGTCTCACCTGTGTAAATTTTTCTTTTACCCTTCCTAGTTTCATTTGCTTGTGTCCTTCTCATATATAAATAACCATGTTCTATTATCAGAGTAAGCTAGGTTAACAGTCAATACAGAAATGCATGCACATGTTGCAAATGTAGGGTGCGTTGAAAAAACTTTCCTAAACTAGCATGAACAGTTAAAAATGCATTTTGAAGACCATTATCGTATTATTCCTCTGGAATTAATTTTACTGGAGAAGTGTTGGACAAGCTAAATTTCTGTTTGTATTTTGGATAATTCTGTTCTCAGTAGACTACCTTCTATCTTTCACCTAAATTAGTTGTGCTTTTTTAGAAGCCAAAGTCCAGAATTTTTGGAGTCTTCTATGCTGAATACAAAGAGATCGGTATTGTACCATTGTCTGTTGTCTGTGTGTCCTGTAGGCATTTATTTTCACAATACACAAGTCACCATTGTCCATACAGAATTTATCTTCTGGTTGTAACTGTTCTGAAACACTTATTTTGAAGTAAGCAAGCAGGATAAATGGAGATTTTTTGCTAGTAAAACCAAGTTGTATATTTAAAAAGAAAACAAACGAAACCTAAAAGTTGCAACTGCCCTTCCCTCCTCTTGCTTGCTTTGCTAAGCTTGGGCTTTAACTAGCAGGGTTTCTGTGTGGTTAAGATGTCATCTACTCTTGC